TTAAAATTTTTTCTTCTTTTTTTATTTTCTTCAACCTGAATATATTATTAAAACCATAAAAAATGAATTTTTCATCATTTTAATTTTCAATTTTAAGGGGAAATTTTAAGTAATTTTTTTTATAATACTGTATTTACTGTGTAGTATTAAAGAAAAATAAAATACAACATGCTCTTGAACAGTAAAGCAGCATTATCATTTCTCAATAAAAATTTTTAAAAAAAAGTTGAAAATGCAAAAAGAAACGTTCCAAACACTCCCTTAACTCGCCCGTTTACGGGAAAGGATGCGCAATGTTCAGCGGATAACACCCCTCGAAAATCAAACAGCAATGGCTACCTCCGCAGCAACACCTAATTCGCTCTCCTTCTTCTCTTCCTCTTTCTTCCTCTCCTCCCCTCGCCAACTCCCCAGAAAGTCTGTCTCCGTCAAAACGTCAAGAAGATCCCTTTCCATCACCTCTGAGCTCGTGACTCTCCCCATTTTATCCTTCACCGGCGACAAAATAGGTGAGACATACCTTGACCTCAAGTCGGCGCCTCCGGAGACCGCCCGCCCCGTTGTTCACAGAGCAATCCTCGCAGACCAACAGAACAAGCGCCGCGGCACTGCTTCCACGCTAACTCGGAGTGAGGTCAGAGGCGGTGGCAAGAAACCGTACCCCCAAAAGAAGACGGGTCGGGCTCGACGTGGGTCCATGCGCACTCCACTCCGTCCTGGAGGTGGCGTGATCTTCGGACCCAAGCCTAAGGACTGGTCCATCAAAATCAACAAAAAGGAGAAAAGATTGGCCATTTCCACTGCATTGTCCAGTGCTGTGGAAAGCACCATTGTTGTGGAGGATTTTGGGGAGAATTTTGAAAAACCGAAGACGAAAGAGTTCATTGCAGCAATGAATAGGTGGGGATTGGATCCTAAGGAAAAGTCCATGTTTTTGATGATGGAGGTGCCAGAGAATGTGATGTTGTCGAGCAGGAATATTGGGACTTTGAACATGTTGACGCCTAGAACGCTTAATTTGTTCGATATTTTGGATTCTGATAAGTTGGTGTTGACACCGGCTACAGTGGATTACTTGAATGGAAGGTACGGGGCGGAGTACGAGGACAGTGAGGAGGATGAAGAGGAAGAAGATGGAGAAGGTCAGTCTTTTTGTAATTAATTGGCTGATGTTCAATATCTGCCTGATTGTTATTGCGGTGTTATGGTTTGTTTTTTGCTTGTAAATTGTAATGGCCTTGATGTTGTTTGTGGTACAATTAGAGGTTCCAATTATCTACTGTTTTTAAATTTCCATGTTATTGGAAAAAGAAAATAGTTTAGCTTGGAAGATATATATATATAAAGCTTTGTTGAGTTCAAATTTTAGGATTTAACCAAAAATGAATGTATGCTTCTTGTTTTCATTTTCTGGCTCTTCTCAGCGTTGCTGGTGTTATTAATTATTATGTGATAAGGGAATGCATTTGAAGTTGAGCATTTTCTTTTGGAAAATGATGAGAGGCTTACTGAAGGATTTACTTGTAATGCAAGATGTACATGCATAATGATGTCAAAGATGAAGAACTGGTTCCTGTCCATTTGTGTTGGAATTTGTATGCAAACTTTTCTGTATGCGTGCGTAGGAGATATGTGATTTGTGAGTGACTCCATGTGCATGGTTTAAAAGAAAGACATGAATGGAAATGTGATTGATTTCTTGAGTAGTGTCTTTTATTGATCCCTTTCATTTTTCAATGTGTTATGGCAGGAACAGAGGCAGAAAAGAATACTGATGCAGCACAATGACCATGTTTTCCTTGCAACCATAACTGATCATTCTTAGCCTGAAGACCTTGTTCTATGCCTAAGACCACTATAACCTTCTGTTGAATTCTGCAGATTTTGGTATTCTTTTTAGCTGTATCTTTTTCTTTTCAGCATTTTGCATATATTACTGAAATTTGTATCATTTAGGTGATCAATGGTGTGGCATTTTCCCAACCTTGAACTTCTTTAGTCTTCAACCATTTATGATTAATTACTTCCAGTCACTCATTTAAGTATGTATACCAGGGACAGATCGCAGTCTACATAAAATGATTTAAGATGTATTGAACTGAACTCAGGTCGAAATCATCTAGAATGGAGCAAGTAATGTGAATCAACTCGGAAAACACATCTGGGTGCCCGTAGATATTGTTGTGACTGTTAGTTCTAAATGATGAAACTAAATTCAATATAAATGTCATAGTCTCTTGGTTAGAAATTATTTGGAAGGGAGTTACTTAATGGTACATCAGTCTTGTGAATGGTGGCTTCTAACAAGTGCTGGAGAGTGTATGCAGCCACGCAGGAATTGCTGGGAGTGAGATCCACATAAAGAAGGATTCTGCCAAAATTAAGAGAGTAATACTGAATCAAATGTTGATAAACTGCATTTTCACAGGTTACTTCAGTCAGAGTTGAACTTATATTATGTGACATTCAAGTATTCGAGTATCATACAGTTGAGTAAATGATGGTAGAGGTGATTATGATTCTAAAGTTGAGGGCATAGGGGATTTGAATTATTCAGGGTCATCCATTTGAAGTTTACTCTGTGAGCTCCAACTTCCCAGGATTGTCATCTTGGCATCTTGCTGCCATTCTTGAATATGTAGAGTCTCCTGAGGATGTGGTTATGCAATTTGGAACGAAACCTTATCAACTTTGATGCCTTTCCAGCTTCAATTATGTTATCTCTCGGGTTTTGTTTTTATACAACAGTCTGAAGATAAACCTCTGTGATGAAGTTTATTGTTGTTACCTGATTTTGCTGCATCATTCAAAAACAAACAGGTTTATCAAGTTCTAATCTTTCCCACATCATCAGTGGAAAATTAGATAATTAGACTGCAGATCTAACTGGCGAACATCAAAGAAGATACAACTTTGCAAAAACTGTGACATCTTAACATCGTTTGAGTGAGAAAGGTAGAGAGCCACTGTGAAAAAGGAGTATTTGTGATGGCCAAAACAAAAAGAAAGAGTGTTGTGAATTATACCCAAAAAAAAGGAAAAAATGAAGCTTCTTCGGAGAGAGCTGATCCGATGTCGTTCACGGAGGCGGTTCTGATGCAGCGAACCACGGTTTCAATGACTCACCGGTCTCCGCCACAACTCAATGTCGACGCAGCCTCTTCTTTCTTTCCTTTTTTTTTTTTTTTTGGGGAGCAGTAAACTTAACTTCACCAGTCAGAATTAAAACCCTTGACTTTGAGTTGCTTCCGTGATTTCAATCAGCTGGATTGAATCTGTACGTTTTACAAGAATCCGGTCGGCGGATGGCGAGCGAGAAGACCCAAATCTATCATGAGAGGCAAAGACTGCAATTTTGCCTATTGCACTCCCTTAACAATCTCTTTCAGGTACCCTTCTCTCCCCTCCGAATGTGTCTGCCTTTCTTGTATTTGGTTCTTCTGAATTTCCATTCACTTGGGCTACGAACCGCTTCAAATCGAAACATTTATTGAAAATTTCAAATCTTTTAAATTTTTTGTCCTGTTTTTTTTTGGGGGGGGAGGGTTATTTGTTTGTGATTAATCACATAGTATACTTTATTCTATTTCAGCAAAAGGATGCCTTTAGTCGAGCAAGCTTGAATGCAATTTCTAAGAAGCTCGTTCTTGATGACCCAAATAAGGAAACTTGGACACCGTTATCTTTCCTCTTCAAGCCTCACCATAATGCAATTACTGGAAACTATGACATAAATGTTCTGATTTCAGCACTTGAAGGGAAAGGGAAGAGTGTAGTTTGGCATGATCGTCGAATTGGTGTATCTTCTATTGATTTAGATGATGGGCCAGAAGGAACTTTGATGGGTATTGTGCTTAATGTTCCAGTTAAACGGTATGCTGGGTTTTGGGGAGGTAGACACTGGATTGCAGTGAGAAATATTGATGGGGTTTGTTATAATTTGGATAGTGATTTTGCTACACGTCAGTCTTTTAGGGATGCTGAAGAAGTTAGGGAATTTTTGGATTGCATCATTGGTCATGGTGGAGAGATTTTACTTGTCAAGAATGATACATGGTGAGTTATCTTTACTATGGACAATCAGCTGAGGTTACAACTTCCAAGCTTGTTCGTAGCAAGAATTCTTTCTTTGTCTTTTATGCTTAAAAAGATTGAGGTGCAGTCTTTCTTCTTGACTTATTATTGCCTGAATAAGTTTATTTTTGCTTGGAGAAATTGTTTATAAGGAGCTTTTGCTTTTAGGGATTTCATTGTAGCATATTTTAAGGTGGTTTCTCCTTTCTAGAGATGGTGATTGGAGATGATGAGTGCCAATTCTGCTAATATATATCAGTTCTTGAGGAGCCTTGGAATGCAATCACAAGTTCATGGTGCTAATTGATACGCATTAAGCTGGAACACAGAATGGATGGTTGTGCTTGTCTAGTGTTGATTCCATTTTTGTTTAAACCAATCATCGTCTACTTTTTTCCTATATTGGATACCTGTAGTAACTTGATGTTTTGTACATGAACTGTCAATACTTGTTAAGGTAATCGGATTAGAGCTACCAAATATGGTTCTTTTGGACATCATGGACCACTATTATGCTGATGATTGAATAAAAAGATGCTATTGTTCTTTTCAGTGGTCTCAAAGTTGATGGTTGAAGATAACTACAAAAGCTAGCACTGACTGGAATTCAATTGTGCCCCTTTTTACTTTGCTGGTTGGATCCAGTTGTAATTGATGCTAGATCTTTGGGTTCTAGGCTGACAGTAATTTTGGAGTATCACTTTTGGCATGCGGATTCTGGGTGGTGTTTTGACTTTTGATTCCTAAAGGACCTAAACCTCTTGGATCTTCCTCCCCAAAGGAGATACCAAACTCTGCTGGTATGTGGTGTGAAGCCCCTGGTTTTATAATACCTTGCACTTGATTTCATGGATAGGAACTTTGTTTTGAGTTTTTTTTTTTTTTTTTTGTCCTTTAGAATCGAAGCTCAATTTTAGCTAGTTATGACATTTTAGATTTATGATTCTAGATGAACACACAGATTAGACTTTCAATTTGGGCTCCCATTCTAACCTCATATTCTTCCATACAAGAATGCTTTTGCTTTCCACTTTCCACACTGAAAGAGAACAAAGTAAAAGAAGAAAGATTAACGTATCACCAGAAGCAAGATGGAATCAATTGATTATGATGGTTTCCCCACTTTTTTTCTTTTTTTTTTTAATTTTTATAGTGCCATTGATTATGATTCTAATACATAAAACAGAAACATTTAAACCAACTTTGCATGGTCCACACATGAATTGGATTTTGTTAATGTTCTTTTGGCATTTGGAGACCAAATCAAAAGGCCTCTTGTGCTAATTTTGTTTTCTTCCTTTGTGATCACATCTCTGTCTTAAAGTTCCAGATAAAGAAATCTGGTCCTTATGTTTTTAAACATATCTGGTTATGTCACCTTTGGATGATCTTTCTAACCACCTTTGACCCTTATCTCTGTTTTTGGTTAATCAAACTGATGGTTTATCCCTACTTCCCAACCCTTCTCCCTGCAGCTGGAGAAGGAAAAATCTCAAACATAAAGCAAGGAATCTGATTCAGAAAAGGCATTTCCAAGAGTCACAAGTTTCCTTGACAAATATATGCCATCAAAGAAGAGTTTACTGAAAGGCAGCCTTATCCTGTAACTTACATTTTAAAAAGGGAAGAAAAGGGTTACTGTCTTACTGAAGTACTAAGCTAAATTACAACTCCTGTCTCCTTTGTGGACCTTCCACTTCTCTAGTTTTCTGTTTTAATAGAAAAAAGAGCAATGGTAAAATCAAAGAAACAGGGGACAAGCAGAGCTTTGAATCTTCTTCTATTATTTCCTTTTTCCTCTTTTCCAAAAAGCATATCACCTAACTTTACTTCAAGCTCCTTTTCTTTCTAAAAGAAATAATTGTATACATATTAGTGGTTAACCTGCTCGTGTGCACTATTCAAATGTTCATGCTTAGGAGTCAAAATGTCCCCACCGCACACTGCAAACAATCATAACATTCCATCTTTCATTGTGTAGCTTTGCAAAGGAGCATCTTTCTCTTAATATAGTCACCTTGTAAGAATTATACCTAAAGGAAAATCGATTCCAAAGATTGCTAATCTTTTACTTTTCCAAATCAAAAGAAAAATATTGAGTACTTTTGAGTCTTTAATCCAATATCTTATATTATCTGCTCAAGAATTTTACAATTTGTTCTTATATAATTAGGGTTTTCTCCTTTTTTTTTTCCTTTTTTTTTTAGTTTATAATCTTTTCCTGTCCCGTTTGATATCTTTAACTCACTATTCTAGCATTCTCTGTTTTTATTTGTATCTAGCATTGCTATCCCACCAGCCACAGCACATTCCCCACCTAATGCTTTAAATAGTACTACATTTTCGAGCCTCTGTTTCTACTTAACTTTCTCCCTCAATCTCTCTCTCAAACACCATCCAGATGTCGACTAGAGTTGGCAACAAATCCAGTCAAAGAGAAGGAATCAACGGTTTAAATGGTTCTGTCACAAGAAACCATAACAACAAGGCTGCTAGGAGCAGAGTTACTAGGAGTTGCAGCTTCATGGTCTGCAGAAGGTCAGATTTCCCGCTGGTGAGGTTTCTCAAGCATCTCGGTGGAATAGTAGCAGGAGGAGTGCGTTTGGTGTCTGTGAAAATAAGACCTTCTCCTAAGGTTTCTTCTTCATTATCAAGAACATCAAAGCCATTTGTAACCCCTGGTGATACTTACAGAACCGAAGCCATTGAAGATTGCATAGAGTTCATCAACTCTTCATCCTCTTTGCCAAGATCTAATTCTCTTTCTGCCAACCCTAATTGAATCTTTTCGCATCAATGGAAATATCCTGGTCCTCAACATCGTACGTAGTTGCTGAAACTATTCTCATAAATCTTTATGCACAACATTCTGTTCTTTTGGTGTATTATGTAACGTATAATATTATATGTTAATTGCAAGATAATTCTTAGTTGGTTACCCATCTAGAGAGAGGATGGATTGTAACTTATAATATAATGTATCTCGTTTTCCCTGCGCATGCCGTTCTTGTGGTTGAAATATGTTGATAGTGATAGAAATGATTAATGCATCAGATAGAATAAGATGCAACATACAGAAAGGATATGAATAGGTTGATAAAATGACTAAAGCATCAATCATCCTAACATTCCGACCATTTTTCCATTGCATTCAAGCATTATTTTTTCAATACTAGATTCCTGCATGAGATCATGTTATTTCTACAACTACATAAGAGAATAGAACAAGCATGGCAGTTTCTGTAAGAATCATAATTTCTTTAACAATACAGTCATCCACATAAATATTCAGAAAAAAAAAAAAATCATTATATGAATACATGATGATGGGGTAAAAAGAAGCAGTGTGCATTAGAAAGGAAGGAAATTAATGAAGCTGACAAACTTAGCGTTCAAGAATCATCAAGGAAGCATTTTCAACAGCAAATACAGAACAAGAATTGAATTGAAAGGGCCCTCATTCATTTCTTGGCGAAGAGTCCTCCAAATCCACCTTTCTTCTTTGGTGGTGGCATTGCAACGGTGCCTTTCTGGGCATTGGTTGTGCCACCAGCCTTGCCATCCTCAACTTTCTTGAGAATGGGGTCAGTCTCATAGAACTGGTCTTCCTTCTGCAAGTTTCCCAGAATCCAATCGAGCAGACCTTTCTCCTCCTTGCTGCCGCCGGCACCTTTGGCGGCTGTTGCAGCAAACACCCTTGTAGTAGAAGGAGTAAAGGATCGGAGGAGAGAAGCCATTACTGAAAACCAAGCAGCAAGCTTTGAGATTGTGGAGGATATCGAAACTTTCAAGTGATATATTTCGGTGGGACTGATAGTTTGATGTAACCAGAGCCATTGGCGTCTGTACCGTGTAGTACGAGCCCTCCACAAGTGTCATATCTTCATCGTTGAGACTCTGAAAGGAGTTGATCTTAGCATGTATGGTCCTGGATATGACACTTGGAATTCAGTCTGGGTCTGGCCCAAATTTCAACCTCCACAAATGGCCCTTAATTCCCGGTCCAAAACTCCAAATGCAAAATCATAAGCCTCGTCTCTCTTTTTGTTTAGAACATGTTAACATGAACCCAATTAGGCCCAACGGAAAGGGAGAGTGTACCTTTTTTTTATGTGGTTAATATCATTAGGTTTAAAGGGTCAAATGTCATAAGCGTCATTTTTAAATAATTTAACTTAAAAAAAAAAAGAAATTATATATAGGGATTAATGTTTGTCCATTTTATTTTTAAAAAATTAAGAAGAAAAAAAGACAAAAATCACTTTAATGCATACTTTAAAAATATGATAATTTAGTTTTTTTCAATAAAAATTTATTAAAACTACTTAGTTTTGGGATGATTTTCTTCCTAATCTTTAAGAGGTAAGGTTGATAGACACTATTTCTTTATATATAAATCTATATATTAATGTTATTCAATAATATTATATAAAATTATAAATTTATAATATCACATAATATTATAATTATAATATTTTTGTAATATCGTTATACCTATAAGCAATTAAATACAAAAACCCATATGTTTAGGCAGCTTCGCAATCCAACACTGTTGAAGTCCTCAGCTGCTTCTACACCTGTAAATCCCGAGGATGTTTCATCGGGGAAAACACTCCGATACTCAAGTTAGCAATACTCAATATTCTAGAAAGAGAGGCTCTTAAGGAGTAATTGCAGAGAGAGAAACGTAGAGATTAATTATCTTCATCGGAGCTAGTTAGGGGGTATTTATAGCCCCAAGTGCTAACATGCATCTGTACATGTAAGCATCCCATTAGCCCACATGTGCTGGTCACGTGGGTGTGCTTGCATTAGTATTCCCTCAACTTGAGTTAGAGGGCGGTAGCCTAGGCTCGTGAGAGGGTGGTAACCTAAACCCGTTGCACACAGTCCTGTTTAGATGTTGGGTTGTTGGGCCTATTCCAACACCATATACACTCAAAAAAAAACTATGCACAAATAAATTTACTAAAGTTACGGTGAGCATCATAAAATACTCAACAGATTTAACTATTATGCTCAAGAAAAAGAGGAACATGAGCAATCAACATTACCTTCCTGCTCACGGACAGCCCAACCACGTCATGGAACAATCAAATAACCAACTTTTGACACAAATTTTGAAAAGAAGCTAAAACAGGCAAAGTTTGTTGGGTATTTGACTCAAAATCTAGAGGCAAATACCGAGCTGGTTAATTCATGAGATGAGGATTGAAGAACTAAAAGATTCAAAGGGGTTGGTGTCAATTTCATCTGGGGAGGGAAACAAGGACACGTTTTAATTATTAGGTCTCCTAAAGTTTCTTCCCCACAAAGTTTCCTCACTCTAGAACTACTGACTAGCTATATATGCAGCATCTTGATGATGGGGTTTTGTCGCAAACCCATTTTCTCATTACGGGTAAACCCCCTAACTACCTCCCTTTCTCTTGTGTCAACCAGCCTCAGCAAGCTGTATAAGAAAAGGAAATGCTCTGGCTCTCATTCTGTTTGGGTACAAGTAAACAGTTCTATTATTTTATAGGTAAAAGGTATACAGTTATGTGCTGTATCAATCCTTTGCGGTAAATTCTGTTTTACCATGTCTACGAAAGAGGAGAGATGATTTGAATTTGAGTAATGATAGAGATAATGAAAATTTGAGACTAATAACGTGACATACGTTACGATATTAAATTAGTTGATACACATAATATTATGAATTTTTTTTAAAAAATAAATAAATAAATATTAAATAATATAAGATTTTTAACTTTTAATAATTTAAATAACGTGATTTATGTTACATAATTAATCTTAGATTTTGGTCTCAAAAAATTTCTGTCCCATTTATCAATATTTCCTTGAAAATTTGAACACATGACATTCTAATTTCTCAACTTAGAAAGAAAGAGGACAAGGTTTGAAAATGAATGAAACCTCCAAACTATATATCAATTATTACTAAAATTAACATGTCTAAGTTGTCAATTCAATAACCCTATCCAATTGCATTACAAACTGTTAGCAAAAATAAATTATTAGAAAACAAGATTGAATGAATGAAGAAAAAGACTACACCTTTGGGAGAATGAGAGATTACCAGTTTGCTACAATTGGTAGGTTAAAAGGAAAAGAGATCTGCATGCAATTACCTCTTTGATATTTCGAAGAAGTTAAAATGGAGTAAGAGTAGAAGTCTTAACAATAAACCCTTCCTTTCGTTTTAATTTGGTTTAGTAGTTAGATGATTTTAAAAATCAACATTCACGCAACAGATTGCATTATATTTATGTGCCTTTTCTTATAATATCAAAGCTATATTTATGTGCCTTTTCTTATAATATCAAAGCTATATTAATGTTAGATTAATGTAAAGTACTCTCAAACAATTATTATTTATATGGAAAGCAACATCTCTTACCAATCCAATCCAGTTACTTAGAATAAAAACAAAACAATCATCAAAGTAAATATATTTTTTGTTTTTTGTTTTTTTTTCGCTAATCCTTTGATATTAGATATTATATTAGATATCGATTAATTTAGAATTAAATTATATTGAATCTTATAAGTAATAAAGTATCTTAGAATTTATTTTTCTATTCATAAAACTTGAATTCAAAATCTTATTTAATAAGAACCCAACTCTTTCTACTTGGTAGGCCAAGAGGTGATTAATGACATATCTCTTGTTTTCTTCCACAACTTTGCAACTAAAAATGGCTTAATTAGTTGTCCAATTAATTTCTTGTATGTTGGTATTCTGCCCTCTACCATAGTTCCTATCAACCCAAATGCACCTATGAAATTTTCCCAACCACCCTTCCTAAACCTTTCTCATTATATAACACTATATAACAACTCCATTTCTTTATCTCCTCTCTCACAATCCCCACACTACCTCTGCAAAAATTAGCTACCTTTATCCAATGGAACCTCTGCTACTCTTCTATGGCATTGCAGCAGCAGTTTCCGTCTATGCCTTCTGGTTCCACCTCCTTGCACGGCAGCTTACTGGTCCAAAAGTTTGGCCCATCGTCGGTAGCCTACCCTTTCTGTTTGTGAACCGGTGGAGAATCCATGATTGGATTGCTAGTAACCTCCGGAGTACAGGTGGAGCCTGCACCTACCAAACCTGTACAATCTGTCTCCCTTTCTTGGCCCGCAAGCAAGGGTTTTATACGGTCACTTGTCACCCTAAGAACATCGAACACATTCTTCGGACCCGGTTTGATAACTACCCCAAGGGACCTCACTGGCAGGCGGCATTTCATGATCTTTTGGGGCAGGGGATTTTCAACAGCGACGGGGAGACATGGCTGATTCAGCGGAAGACGGCGGCGTTAGAGTTCACGACTCGGACTCTAAGACAAGCCATGGCGCGGTGGGTGAACCGGACGATCAAGAATCGGTTGTGGTGTATTTTGGATAAAGCGGTAAAGGAAAACAGAGCGGTGGATTTGCAGGATTTGTTGCTCCGTTTAACTTTTGATAACATTTGTGGACTTACGTTTGGGAAAGACCCAGAAACGCTTTCACCGGAGTTACCGGAAAACCCGTTCGCCATGGCTTTCGATATTGCCACGGAGAGGACTCTGTACCGGCTTCTTTACCCCGGGTTTCTATGGAGGTTGGAGAAATTTTTAGGGATTGGAGCGGAAAGAAGACTGAAACAGTGTCTCGAAATCGTCGAGAAATACATGAACGACGCTGTTGAGGCGCGCAAAGGAGATCCATCGGATGACTTGCTCTCCCGTTTTATGAAGAAAAGAGACGTTAGCGGTAATCTGTTTGCTACCCCTGTTCTCCAACGAATTGCTCTGAACTTTGTTCTCGCCGGCCGTGACACTTCATCGGTGGCCCTGAGCTGGTTCTTCTGGCTCGTCATGAACCATCCGGAGGTGGAGCAGAAGATCGTCGGTGAGATTTCGAGAGTCCTCGGTGAAACACGCGGTAACGATCGACAGAAATGGCTTGAAGAACCTCTGGATTTCGACGAAGCCGATCGACTGGTGTATCTCAAAGCAGCATTAGCCGAAACTCTGCGTCTATACCCATCTGTCCCTGAAGACTTTAAGTACGTGGTTCAAGATGATGTTCTACCGGACGGTACGTTTGTCCCCGCCGGTTCAACGGTGACATATTCCATATACTCGGTGGGGAGAATGAAGACTATATGGGGTGAGGATTGCATGGAGTTCCGACCAGAGAGGTGGTTGACACCGGAGGGGGACAAGTTTGAGGCACCAAAGGATGGGTACAAGTTTGTTGCGTTCAATGGTGGGCCGAGAACTTGTTTGGGGAAGGATTTGGCTTACCTACAAATGAAGTCCGTGGCATCGGCCGTGCTGCTGCGTTACCGGCTGTCGTTGGCTGCCGGCCACCGTGTGGAGCAGAAGATGTCCCTTACTCTGTTCATGAAGAAAGGACTTCGTGTACACATGCATCCAAGAGCACTTCCATAGAGAAAGTGGGAAGGGAATGGTACTGCCATTGATGGATTAAACAGAGGGGTACATAAAAAAGTGCATTTGAATTGATTTGATTTGTTTTCCACATTGAATTTCTCATACATTGTTCGTTCACATATATGTTTGTTTGAATTTGTGTATTTTCATCTGAATTTGGAAGGTAAAATCAATACAAAAGTGTAGTGAAGTAATGTCTTTGTCATATATATTTCCTCTAAATAGATACAGGTTTTCATATGTTTTATTAAACAACAATTCAATAAAAAAAGAAAAGCGCCAGTTCATATGATATTACATGTAAGATGTGCAGCTCACATTGATCCTAAAAGATTTACGTTAATAGATCAATTTGGTTCCTCAAATTTCAAAGTTATATCAAAATGATCCCTCAACTTCAAAAGACTTCAAAAACTATCAAATTATCCCTAAATTTTAATTTTTAGTATTAAAAAAGTCTTTATATTAATAGAAATTTACATAACTCATTATTTTACTATAAAATGAGTTCGTTTCTAAAATACTAATAATATGCAAAATCAAATAATCATATTTTATCATCATAACATATTTTTATCTACATACAAGATTGATATATAATCAAAATTGAAAAATTAAATTAATATTTGTAATCAAAGTTCAAAAACTAAGTTGATATTTGTCTTTAAAGTTTAAAAACTAAATTGGTATTATCTTCAAAGCTTGAGAACGATTTTGGTACCAAAAATCAAAGTTTAGGGACAATATTAGTATTTTCTAAAGTTAAAGGATAATTTTTGTATAAATCTGAAAGTTAATTGACCAAATTAATATTTTAACCAAAAATTTATAAAAAATTAACTTCTACTTTCTATTGAAAAGGAAAAGTTAACAATATATAATCACAAGTTTTACTTGTTAGAATTGAATGAAGAATTTACAGGATGTGTGTGAACTTACTATACAAACAATCTCTTCCTCCAATGACATGTCTTGGAATTGTCAGATATAAGTGGTAGAGGAAATGGCAATTTCAGAATTCAAAAGTTCTGTTGCTTCACTCAGCAAAAATGGATATTTCTCACTTCTCTTCTGAATTGTTTCTGGTTTCATTTTTCCACCTTGGCATTCAATCAATTTCACTCCTCTATAATAAGTTCAAACACAGGCTGCATCCTAAATTTCAACTCATCTGAGGGTCAATCCAATATTTTCTCACCAGTTGAGAAGAGGTTCCAGACAACAGTTCCAACCAGGTATAGTCCAACTGAAACTTCGAAAACATCATCCCAAGAACCTGTGATGAGGGAGAAACCATCAAATGAATCAGCTCTAACATAGACGTTATATATGTAATACAAACATCAGATGCATGTGATAGAGTCAAAAGAAATCATAAACAAGGCTGTATATAATGCAATGTGGGGAAGAACATTTTACTAGTTTGCATATACCAGGAGACATATCTTAAATTTCAGTTATATTCAGATGGAGTGTAACGTCTATTTCATATTGAGCTGGCAGCTCAAACATGCAAGGAAAGAGATCTGACCATGTTGCAAGATGTAACCAGTTGCTGCAGTTCCAAAAACCCCTGCTAGCACCCCTGCCGTGTTGGATAACCCAAGCAATACTCCCTGATGCAAGAAACATGATACATAAGGTGAACCAATCATCTTCTTTAGAAAGTTTTGAGAGTACAGATGCTAAATAGTCCATGTAATTACACTACCATGGCAGCACTTTGTTTCAAAGGCCATTAGAATGGCATTAATTGGTGTTTATTTGGAGTTCATTTATCAGAACACAGTAAGAATTGAAATCTGTCCTTGGATAACAAATCTAGGAAAGTAGTAGTATTAAAAAAAATTAACACTTACAGAATATCTTGGGGCAATATCTTGATGGTTTGAATATAGGCCAGATTGTGAGAATGCATCAGTTCCCTATAAGACCATGGAATGTTAAATAGTTCAGTCATCAATCACCTGTTTTGTGTATGTCTTCAAGTGTTCTAAGAAGCACATATACCTGACTGCATGCCATACAAATAACAGCCATTGCTGGAGAATCAACATGACTCAGCTGTGTGAGGAAGAAAGCAGGGCCCAGAAATCCAATTGTTTGCATGATCTGCAATGGAGTACAGGGTATGCTGAATATCAAGGGAGCTTACAACGACTCTTGACTAAGGAAACTTTACTGAATCTTAACAATACAACTTAGTGTGCCACAGGGCACATAACAAAAGAGAAACAAAAGGCACATGGACAAAGGGATGTGCTTGCAAGATGCCTGCATGTAAGTACGTCCACAAGTGTGCACCCGACTGTGTATATATTAACTAGCCATATTCACAAATAAACGCCATAGATGGCTCTAATAAAAATAAATTTGAAGAACTGAACCATCAAAGATAATAGTTACTATAAGACTAAAAATACCTTGCGGACTCTAGTCACAGAAAAACCTTTGCTCACAAGTGTATCTGCAATCCACCCTCCCATATTGGCAGAAAAAGCCATTGTCAGCCAGGGCAAAACAGCAAAGAGCCCTGACTCAGTAAGATTGAACTTCAGAACCTGTGGTGTTATTAAGATTAGAGGGAAAAAAACCACCTCTATTAACACCAGAAATAAACCAGAAGCAGCAAGTTTACTTTTTAACATAGCTCAAAGAAGCATCATAAAATTATCTCAAAACCACTTCCAGCGTCAGAAATTAAAAGCAGAATCCAGTTTCTTTGTTGTTTTAGTACAATTTTATCAACAGAAAGTCACAAGGTAATCTGACAATAACTTGAAGTCCCCCTCATCACAGGTTAGAGCACCATAACTTACTGTCTGGATGCTGATTCTTCTCCATTCTCATAATTTAGTTGTCTGACAGTCTAGAGTTGCAAGAAAAATTGGACTTCATAATCAAAAGAGAGTGTCTTACTTGATGATAGTATGTTGGCATCCACGTTAGAAGAATAAATGTCCCCCAATTGTGACAAAAGTGAGACACAATGAGGGCCCAGACAGGTGGTTTTGACAAGATCAATCTCCAAGGGATAGTTTTGACAGGTTCCTTGGAAACACATTTTGTAACAAGGAGCTTCTTCTCCTGAGGCCTCAGTTCAGGATCATCCAAAGGTGAACTGTATGCCTACACAACAAAGATGAGAAAAGACAATGTTTGGAAGATAACTGAATCGGAGTAAACACCTGTATCAGAAGTTTTTACTCCAGTAACAAATAACTCAAACTAGACTGGAGTATTTAAGATCAATCAAACATACTAAGTCCACCATGCCCACAAAAAGTTACAAACAGTTCAATAATGCAACAAAATATACCTTATTTAGCCATACAGTAAACCAGACTGTCCCCAGTGAACCGAAGGAGTAAAAGACTGATGGCCATCCAAACTGATGTATTAAGAAGGGTGAAAAGGCCAGACCAGTAACTGAGCCAAGATACATCCCACTGTACACCAGAGCTAATGATCTGCTTCTTTCAGCCACAGGAACCCATTTCGACAGAATGTTATTCATGGCAGGCATAGCAACACCCTGAAACAGACGCAAATTAAGCTGATCGACATCCACTTCACAAAACAGACCAAATCCTTCAATTACATACTATGAGGACAATTCAAACACAACAGATGGAAGTTGAATTTACTTTCAGCAAGAAAATTAAAGAACCAACCTCACCAACTCCCATGAAAGCACGAACAACAAGAAGGAATGGAAGCCCAATTTTCGCAGCAATAGGAGTAAGAGCTGTAGCAACGGACCACCAAACTACACCAAATCCCAGGACCGATTTCCCACCCACCGTGTCAGCCCATATGCCACCAGCAATCTGTCAGTAACAGCCACAGGTTAGAATAAAACCAAGAAAAGCTCACACATTTAGTTGTTGAAGGAAGTTCTACCTTAGTTAATATAATTATGAACTTATGAGCAAAAAGTAAGACACTTTTTCCATTGAACTCCAATATAATTACCTGAGTAAGAAGGTAGCCCCAAAAGAAAGATGATTGTATCAAACCAACAGTAGTTGGACTCCAATTGAACTCCGCCGACATGGGCAGTATTGCAATGCTCATATTTACCTGCAACAACAGATACTCTCTTCAAAATTGATAAATAAAAACACTAACAAAACCCCAATCAAAATGTATATATTGAAAAAGAATGTAGCTGAAGCTTACTCTATCCATATTGCAAAGCAAAAACGCCGAAAAACACAAAATTACAATAACCCAACGTTTCGGGAACTGCTCCCACCACGGAACGGAACCCTCAATATCCTCCCCACTCAACACTACATCTTCTAATTCATCGTCAAACTTGACCGATTCCCGTATCGACTTCGATATTTCTCTAACATCTGCGTAGACTTTCCCGTTCCTTCTCTCCCCTGAATTCCAAACGGAAACTCGGAAAACATGGAACCGATGTTGGAGGTGGAGGCCGACCGTGAAATGGTTCCGACCAAGGGATGCTTTGTTTCGGGTACAGATATCGGCGGGGTTTCTGGGTTTACATGCACTTGAGTGGAAATTCGGGGAGAAGAGCAGAGCTCTGGGGTTCATGGCTACTGCTCCGCACTGAACTTGGAGGGAGGGTGAAGATCTTTTTATATAAAGAAAGAGAAAATGGAGGCGATATTTATGGGGATTGGTCCTTGTTTGGGCACGTGTCCTGGATTGGAATAACAGAAAAAACGGATTTAATTTTATTTTATTTTTATGAGATTTTTTTAAAGTTAAACTTCATTTATTATAATATTAATAATTAACTTTACATATATTTTAACATAAAATTTAAATAAAATATAATATATAAAAATAAAATAAAATATTTTGTTTTAAAATTAATAAAAAATTATAAATTTGATATAAAAACTTATATAAAATTAATTAAAAATATACTAATTAATAAGTTTTAATTTAATCTTTTATTTTGAAATATTTATTTGGGAATTATGGGCTTCTGTCCCAGTTTAAATCTGATATGTATGGGGCTCGTAATTATGTCGGATCAATGAATAAGATTGGGCCATTATGAGCGTCAGGGGATTGGATTGAATCTGCCCATCCGTAGTAATAGTATATGGGCTGATCTGAGCCCATTTTAGCTCAAGGAATTAAGCAAGGTCTAATTCATCATGAATTTTGTTAGGAACTCTCATAATCGCCATAGATGTTTGAATCCTAATTCTGATTAACCCTATTATCAGAATTTTATACTTGAATTTACCTAGTGAATATCGAACACTACCTATCTCTTGTTAATAAATTAATTAATCATGATTTAATTAATAAGTTGAACTCCTTATTTACACCTTAGACATTATTATTTTTCGAGTTATAGTTTTTAAAATTTTCATTTTTAATTAACAACTTTCATAATTTAAAAATCATAAAAAAAAATCTCAAATTATCAATAAAATTAAAGTACAAATAAAGAAATTGGTTATTAACTTTTAAGTTTTCTACAGATTTTAAATTATAAAAAATATTAACCAAAAGTAAAAATTACAAAAATATTGACTATAAAAAACAAATGTTCATGATGCAAATAAAAGGTTTGACCTTAATTAATAACATGTTAAGTGGTAAACCAACACGATATATGTTGTGTGATAATGGGATAAATCTTGGGCTTAATATGAAATTCTTGCATAAAGATAAAGCTAAAGTAAAGTGCAATCCCACTATGTATTACTAACATTGATATAAAGGGGAAAAGAGGCAAGGGATAAAGATTTATCCTTTTGGACGTCGGTCATCGATAAATGAATATATTAAAGCATATACCATCACCAAGGTCCAGCTTAGCCCGCCAGAACTAAAAATATATATATATGGTCCGACCTGCACCGATCCCACCACAATATATATTATATATAAACACTTTATACTATTAGACTAGGACATGCTTTTTTTTTTTTTTACAAGGGTAATGGTTAGGAAGTTAGTATGAATTAGTTGTTAATAACTGAGGATTCGATCCCAGATTGGGTGAACATTTCACTCCCTCAAATGAGGCGCGCGACCATCAGGTCGTTTTTTAATAGAGTTTACGACGATGGTAGAGTTCGAACCTCCGACCACCTCACCAACCACCTCACGGACTAGGACATGCTTTTTTAGGAGACTAAAGATAAAGTCTACATTGTAGCATCTATATGGTAGTATTAAAAGATATGCATGCATTGCACTACCTAATGTTTGGGGACTAATTAAATAAACAGCCTCGGCAACTTTAGTATTGATAATTATATATATATAGAGAAAAGCAAAAGAGAGTGCTGAAAAGATGTAGATGAAGTACAAATGGGTTTATCCTTTTTATTTTTATTATTTTTTTAATAAATTAAAATTATTTACATGTATTAAATAGAAAAAAAAAAAGAAAAGAGATTCCTAAAATTCAAATTTGTCACTTACAAAAGGTGAACAGTTCTAACCCAAAATCCAAGTTACTAGATTGAATTCACTGATCTGGAGCGGGTTGTTTTATCCTTTTTACTTTTTAAAAATTGATCAAAATCAAAAACATATACCCTCATTTCCATAATCATGTATATATCCCATGAAATTAACATTCCCAAACTTGAAGTTGAACATGTATCCCCATGCAGTTAAATGTCTAAAAAAGAAAATGAGATTGGACCATTTAAAACATTAATTTGCAGGTTCTACACTTGCTAGTAATTTATAACTAGAATCAACTGTACTCTTATTTTTTATATAAATGGTGAGTAGTTTGTAGTAATGATGTTGTTAGGGCAAAAGGGGAGGATGTTTGATGTGCTATAGAAAATAATGGTACATTGTTGGAGTCAATGAAGATGAGGCACGGACAAAGGACTCTTCAGAATGGCCTAACAGAAGATCACATTGGCCCACTTCTGCTCTATCTTTTGATTCTTTTCCTTCTAAGGAGTAAGGATCTATTGCCAGTTGAAACATATCTACCTGGATCATCTTTTATATAACTTAGTATTTTAAATGATTAAAAATTTAAAATTTTAAGTAAAAAATATAAAATATAAAATTTGATATTAATAGAGATAAATTAAGAAAAGAAAAAAAAAACTATTTATTATTGTATAACTCAGTCTTTAACGTAAAAAAAAAATGTAGATCATCTTTTATAGTAATGAGAATTGCTTCATGTTTTCTCATTTTATTTAATTAAAGAGAAATGTCACAAACTTCAATATTAGATGTGTTAGTAAGCAATTTTTTTCCTTTTTATGCTTAGCAAAACTTTATTCATGAGGAAAAACTATAGGCCTATTTAGGGTAGAATGTCGGTTTTATTAGAAAAATTTTTATTAAAAAATATTGTATGAAAAGTTAATAAATTTTGTTGACATTTTTATATTTGATAAAAAATTGGTATAGAAAAAGTTGGTTGGAAAGTTATTAAGTGGGTTACGTATGAGAAAAGTTGAAAGAAAAGTCTTTTCTTTTCAAAAAATGTGGGAAAAAAAGTTTACAAATTAAGAATTGTATTAAAAAAATTGAAAATTTAAAATGTCACATTTACTCTCACTTTTTTATAGTATTAATTAATATATAAAAATATATAAATAACTTTATAAAAATAATTTCCTCAACCAAACAACCAAACAGAATTACATGAATAGAAATAAAGAACCACATGTTTTTTTATTATTAGTTTTGGAAAAAAATAAGGAACCACATGTAGTGGTAAGCAAATTGGTTTAATCAAAAACAAGTTCAAAATAGTGCATCAATATTATATGTATCAATCGATAGCAAAAGCAAAAATCAAAAATAAAATAGAATAATTATGAAAATAATTAAAAAAAACAATTACTTGAAATTCGAGCAACCCTAACTCCTAAGTGACTAGGATTTGTTTTTTCTTTTCTTTTGATATTAATCTCCTGGTATCCGATAATCATATTGAGTTTTGATTAATTCAAAATCGAGTCCCGTTATATTTCATTAGGAGGGAAGCTCTTCTAATTCTTGTTTTTCTATTTACAAGATTCGAACTATAGATCTTGTTTAAAAAAATCGAATTTCTTTCACTCAGACTAACAACTCATTGGTAGACGATTTATTTTTTAATTGCTATGAGCAAGAACCTTACAGGAAAAAATTGGGTCAAGGATTGATCTCAATGCAGGATTCTATTCTATCCCTCCAGAAACTGATGACAGAAATTGCCTTAACAATTATATAATTCACTTTAGTATGGAAAAGGTTTCACGGAGCTAAAGAGAAATGGAGGAATTAGACAAAATGATGAGTTACCCTGTTTCAGTCATGTAGAAAGGAAACGAAACAGGGTGAGAAAGGTAGCAGCTTTGGATTCTCCTAGGGTACCTAAAACAGAGCACACCGCCAAACAAATGCTGCCTATGCATGTTCAATAATTCTTCGACAAAACTTCAGCTCAACATCAAAATCAAAATAATTTACTTATTTTATGTGATGTGAGGTTCAGAAACAGAATCAAAGATGGTTTGCCCACTCAACATGGAGATGAAGGAATCATCCACGTGTGGTGTCCCGTCCATGTCATGATTTGGAGATTTCAATTTTCAATTACGTTAATCTTTCCAAATTTAATTACTAATTATTTTTTATTTTGTTTTTATATTCAATTTTTGGTCACTCAAAAATAATATATCTAAATTGATTTTAAAGGCACATTCCCATCACGACATGATTGCATTTAAAAGAATTAATATTTTTAATACTAACTCATTTTAACTTATAATATAATACTTATTAAATAATAAATTTATTGTATCTAAATTTTATGATTTGATAATCATATATGGTTTCGTAAGGAATACTTTTAGAATTGCGATTCAAATCCCTTTTTTCTAAATTATATTCCGTTCAAAAAATAATAGTAAATTCATTAATTACTAATTATTTTCATAATACATAAAAACTTCAAATTAATAGAGCAATATTGCCTATTGGTACATAAAATCAATTCCAACAAACAAATTGATGCCTTGCACGGTTTACAATATTAGAATAACTAGGGGATATGATATTCTCAATATCAAGAATTAGAAATTGTAGAATGTTAAAGATCGATGCCAAATGTTCAATGAAGTTGCGTTGCACCTACTCTTTAACTTTATTCTTTCAACGTCCCACACTCCCTACCTTTACATTCTTCCTTTCCTTCTTCCTTTCTTCTTTCTATAGCTAGCTAAATCAAATAAACAATTTGGACTCATTGATGGCTTGAAAACAGAGCACTAGGATTCAAGCTCAAGCTCTACCAATGGCGAAAACCAGCATTGGATTGTACTTCAACAGGTTATTTTCTCTTCTTCTCCTCCTCCTTCTCCACCTGGGTTGCTTCGTTTTTACAGCCAGAGATCATCACCGAAAACAGAGCAAGAAAAGGAAAATCTCTCCCCTGTCTCCTTCCTCTGTTTCTTCCTCTTCTCGAACCAAACCTCACAAAGCCCTCTCATGTCTTTGGTCTTTTATCAAACGCATTTTCTCTTCTAAACTCTGCAAAACAAACTCCGGCACGCGCCCCGCAACACCAACCCAAACCTCTGCTAGAAACTCCCTGCAGCATTCGTTGGTTTCCATGAATCCAACCGAAACCCATTTGCATGATGCTGAAAAACCATCTGCATCTTGCCCGGAATGGGATATTTCTGCCGACAACCCCTTTTTGCCTCTCCGGAACGACATCTTCCCCTGTACTGCATGCGGTGAGATTTTCCAGAAACCACAATTTCTAGAACAGCATCAAGCAACCAAACACGCCGTATCGGAGCTAATCGATGGCGATTCTGGGAACAACATAGTCCGGATCATATTCAAAACGGGTTGGACAGATACAGAGAAGAACCCAGAAATATACCGGATTCTGAAGATTCATAACAGTCCTAAAATTCTGGCCAGATTCGAGGAGTACAGAGAATTCGTCAAGGCCAAAGCAGCACGAAGCGGCAGCGCCCCATGGAGAAGAGACGAGAGGTGCATGGCCGACGGGAACGAGCTCTTGAGGTTTCACTGCTCGACGTTCATGTGTGATCTGGGGTCGAATGGTAATTCAAGCATTTGCAATCAACAGTACTGCAGCATCTGTGGCATTATAAAATCGGGATTCTCAGTGAAACTGGACGGAATTCCGACGTTGTCGAGTACCTGGAGAGCACACGTGACGGTTCCTGATGAAGTTGAGGAGGAGTTCCAATTCATGAACGTGAAACGAGCGATGCTGGTGTGCAGAGTGGTGGCGGGTCGGGTGGGGACGGAGTCGGACGAGGTGGACAAGGAGGACGGCGGGTTTGACTCGGTCGTCGGAAGGGGTGGCAGTGGGGCCCGCACGAGGATCGACGAGGAGGAGCTATTAGTGTTTAATCCGAGGGCTGTACTTCCTTGCTTTGTGATTGTCTACTCTCTGTGAGTGTGGTGATTCATAATTAAGATCATTATCAGACATAATCCATGTTTTTCTACTTTTCTGGTAATTATA